TAATTAGGTAACAAAAAAAAACAACAATTTAAAATTAATGTAGTGGTTTTGGTTAATATCCTGAGTTATTCGTAAGTCGTCGATTTCGTTGGCTTAGCCTTTGCTAAGCGCGGACTCAGGAGACTTTGAAGTTAGCTCCATAAACTTTTTTCACTCGAGAGTTATGTCTGAACAAAATCAAAGTTCGGTCTATACATAGATGTTAGCTTAAAATACAACCAAAACAACAAAAAATACAATTTTATTTAATTGTACTTATGGATGCTTTTTATTAAAACAGGGCAAACAATAATATTTTTGCAACCGATACATTCTGTGAGAATTTTCTTTGCTATTTTGCCAGCCTCACCACTTGATAAGAAGGTGCGAAGTTTTTCGTAGCATCCTACACATCTCCTTTTCTTTGATCATTTTTCGAGATGATGTGGATTGTTTGGAGCGGGTTCTGAAAAAAAAAACTGATAGTGTATTTTGAAGCGGGTTGATTAGGTGTTGCGATTTATTGGAGCATTTCTATTAGGGATGGGCCGAATATGGATTTCACCGAATACGAATATTCGGCCGAATGTTCGGTAAAACTTTTACCGAACCGAATATTCGGCCGAACATTGTCCGGCAGGATAACCTCGGTACCCAAACATTTTTTGTCGAAACTTGTTACCGTAAAGTGCGCGGGATTAGCGCCGGACCATGCCCCTCGCTCCCACGCCGCACCTGACAGTTAATTGCATCATCTAGTACTGAGCAAATTGACGGCACATGATTGAAAATTGATAATTATATGATAAAAATGAGCGGCAGGAGATTTACTATTTGGACTTATTTTAGAGAAACTGACGACCAAAGTAAAGTGAAATGTACTAATGTAATGTAATGTTTCTCGTTTAATGTTGTTTGATTTCAAAAACATTTTATCAAATTTCTATTTGTTAAAATAGAAATTTAATAAAATGTTTTTGGAAACTATATACAACACGTAACATAATTAACGCACTTTGAGAAAGTAGTTTGTTCAGAATCGTTTACTGAATCGATTCCTATCATTTTTAATATAGGTAATTTTTTATCCCAAAAATAATTAAAACTACGTAAATTACAGTCACACTAAATCTGTACAGTCAAAACAAACTGAAATGGACCGTAACTTAAGGCAATAAGACTTAATAGTGCAGTTTTATTTGTATTATTACTAACTCTGTCATTCAATAAAAATAAAGAAAAATGAACATTATTTCAAGCACGTTAAAGTCTTTGCGTTCGTGGATTTGTACTGTGACCACAACATTCTTCCGGAATTAGTATAACTAATTTGATAAATAATCAGTGCATAAAAATGTTTACCTGACCTGAGCGTGTACGTTAATTACGTTACATATTGTATAATCTGAAATAAATTTACAGTGTCTCAAAAACATAAATGTATAAATTTATGCATTTGAGGCATTCTAGACTAGAGTAAGAGTAGATTTAAGAAATAAAATAATATCAACAGTAAAAGACATCGCATTACTCAATTCGTACATTTCAATACATTGGACACTAAAAATGTTCGGTCCGAATGTTCGGTGATTTAGCCGAATATTCGGCCGAATACGAATATTCGGTAAAGCTGCCGAATATGCCGAATACCGAACATAAAACGAATATTCGGCCCATCTCTAATTCATTATTACGGCCTGTGTGTGTTTTGCTTTTGTCAGTTGAATTTATTTGTTATATTCCTACATAATTATTTCACTTAGACTCAGTCTAATTAATTTGTAAATATTGATTACGTAATTTAGAATTAGATTTACCACCCAATTCCTCTTCATCATCAATAATATCATTAATTAACTTTCTTCGGCAACATTTCGACATCTTATTATATCGTCGCGGGTGCAGCGTTCGTTTTGCACAACACTAACCGCGTAAAGCTAGCGTAGGGTGCGGTACGAGGTGTTCGCAACCTCGTAACGCACTGTTAAATAAACTTTAATTTTAGTCAGTGCGGTACGAGGCCTCAAATATTCGGTATTAAGGTAGATATACCAAAAAACTCGGCATCAATAGCACATCTCAGATATATAGTTATCTTTCTAGACTGAAGAAAGGAAGAGAGAAGTTTAAGTTTTTTCTTACCACTATAAAGACGAGACACGGACGAGGTGTTTCAAGCCTCGTTTCGCAGTCAACGTGTTAATCGACGGTCGGCGAAATAAATACTAAGGAAAATCCCGAAAACAATCAAATACCAAAGCAAATATCGCAAAAGTTGAAGCAGCTATACCGCGACCACCGATGACTCGTAAAGTTTATATTGCTCTCTTTTAATTGACACAGATATTCCTTGACGCATCACAGTGTTAAATGGCTACATTTTATATTTACTACCAATTTATGAACGCAACCGTTGCCAAAAAAAAGTGGCCGTAAGGAGGTCGTCCGCGGTACCATTCATTTTATGTAAATCGTTCTTTATTTAAAACATTGAAATTCAACAGTATTATTTCAATGTCGGGTATAAATGTAAGTAGTCTCGAACATTTAAAACCCACTTGAAAATAACAGGGACAAATTGATTTAATGTGACATTCTTTTGAAGTTAGTTGTTTCGAAGCCTCAATATGAATATTGTACTTTAACCAATTTCAATAAATTACTTTTAAAGGAAAGAAAGAAACATCTATTACAAACACGCCACACACATAATTAGGCACTTAAATTTAAATATTTATAAATACACCGAAAACTATGAGCTTAACAAAATTAAAAAACAAAAACAACAACTTGATCGGATGTAACCTTAAACAAAAGATGTACATTTACAAATTACATTTAAAATACGTTCCATACGTGTGTTGTGGCGCGATAGGCGAACGGACCTCACTCAGCTTATGCTGAGCCCGAACCAGCAGCTGGTTTTCAGTTGGTATGAGTATTTTTAATGTTCTTAATTACTATTTAATCTTTTTAAGTCTAAATCTAAACATAGGCCCTTCTATGCGCCGGACGACATGCATTTCTTGAGAATTGGACTGGACTTGGTTTGGTGAGCGAGCAGATACTTTCGAAATACGAGTAGTAGTGCTGGTCCACATCCACAACGTAATGGTTAGGCATTGCGGTATTGTATTCTCGCCGACAATCGGTTACAGTTATCGGCACTAGAGTTTCGTCGCCGTCAATGAGCACAGTTTACCGTGTACAAATGTTTATTTTTTTAATTTTATTAAACTGATGTTGAAGTCGAAGACAGACAAACTTACAGTCCACCTCATGGTAAGTGACTATTGCAGATCATGGCCACCTGTTACCAACTGCAAGAAAAGAAGGCTACATATGCGATGTCACCACTGAGGACTAAGATGGAATGCCTCACAGTGGGCTTACCCTTACAGCATGTACTTATATAAGCTCTGTATACCCTTCAGATCACAGTAGTTTATGTACTGCAGCTTGACAGCAGAAATATATAAAAGGGGGGAACCGACCTGGACTGTCTGCGTTGCAAACAAGAATAATCCTTCCAACCAGGTGGGAAGAACCACGCTCTCACAGAAAGTAAAATAGTAGCTCAATGCTGCTTTTTCGTATGGTGAGTGTGGAAAACCAGAGACCTTTTTTAATGGAAACGAGACGTTCCGTCTTAGTCCTCAAGGGTGGCAACGTATGTGCATTTTGATTCTTAGTCGAGGATAGATGTTTGTGGGCCACAGCATTTACTTACCATAACGTGAACTGTGTGCTTTCTTGTGACCATAGTTCTATAAAATTAAAATAAAGCCTTTTCCAAAAGTTGACAAAATAAGTAAAAGTTAGCATTTTCTTAATTTAATCATCAATTACCATTACTGTTACAGTCTATATCTATTGCTGCTTGTCAGTAGTCCACTGCTTAACTCCGTACCCCATAGATTTCTCTCATAGTGATATATTTCCCATAACTGCCCATCTTTTTTTACGTGGTAGAGCCATGCTGCAGTTATATTAGTAGTATAGTTGTAGCACGAATGGGTCGGCTTGACCGGGGAAGGACCACGCTCTCACAGAATACCAGCGTGAAATAGTAGCTTAATGCTGCTGTATTTCGTATGGTGAGTGTAGAGAACCGGAGACCCTTTTTACTGGAAACGAGGCATTCCATCTCAGTCCTCACGGGTGACAACGCATCTGCATTTTGATTTTTAATGGAGGATAGATGTAAATGTCTATGGACCGCAGCAACCACTTACCATCAGGTGGACTCTGTGCTCGTTTGTCACCCTATTCTATAAAAAAAAAATCTTCTGGTTCAGTTTCCCTCAGTCGCCTCTTCCAACACCCACGGGGTGATGTGAGATAGTGGATATTCTTACAACGCCTTTACTATGTGAATAATTTAATCATCAATATTGTTCTTTATGGTTATATTCTATCGCGATGATTATCGTTACCGTAAGTATTTCTAAGGTTTAAATTAAATTTAAATAATTGACCGATGTGGCGCACGATAAGAATAACTAATCGTTCAAACTGACATTTTGTTTCTTCTCGCGCAATTACTTGAAAGTATACTTCTTCTTTTTCTTCTTTCTGCCCTTATACCAGCTTATATGTACATCGTCATCTGTTCACTCACTCACTTGAAACTATACTTGCTTTTAATAAATATTTTTTATACGATAATTTACGATCTCAATTAAATACGCATTATCACAGATTAATAAAATGGCATTATTGAGGATCATATCTCGATCAAATTTATATGGGACCACCATGAGAAGCACCAGCTTTCAAATGAAAAAAGAATCATCAAAATCGATTCACCTAAAAACATTTCTTTGGTATTAAAATATAATCGAATTGAAAACCTCCTCCTTTCATTGAAGCTGGTTGAAAAGAAAACCATTTATTGTCGTTTCAAGAGCTTCTTTTAAAGGAAATACGTATGGCTGCCACACCAATAACAAGATACGAAAGCTACTAAACTAGCTATTAATTATTATCACCAATATCAAAAGCGATATTGACCTTTGCAGGAGTTCGCGGAAACAGCTATGAATGAGCTGCTGGGCTGGTATGGATACGAACGTCTGGAGCTAAGGCGTTGGGCGGCGTCCAGGGCACGAGACAATTCTAGTCCAGAACAGACCGCAGAGCAGAAAAATAAAGGTATATTTATAGTATTACATTTACCTCTTTGCTTTAAACATTTTCAGTGATCATTAAATCCCTTCTTCTCTAGTACCTACAACATGTCATCTATCACACATAGCCAACCCTACACCCTACTTTATGATATTATAATAATGTATTTTTCCGAATACTAGAATATTGAAAAATATGTAGTAACTGAACCTACTATGTTTTAATAACGGTTAACTATAGCGTGAGGTTGTCAAAAAAGCTCAAAGCTGCAAATATTCCTTTAAAAATAACTTGTAACATACTGATTTTTGGCTATTTATAAAAAATAATTACAGATAAAAAGTTGGAAATTCGTAGGAAATTCTTTTTATAGTTACATACATATGTTTTTAACTTTTTTGACTGACTACCCCAAATATACAGAATGATTTTTTTACCGTCTGGAAAAAATAGGGAAGCCTTTGGCGCTGATATTTAACTTGTTTTTATATTAACATATTATGAAATTGATCTATCAATAAATACTACTAATTGGGTGCGTATTATTTCAATTTCAATAGTTTTTATTTGATTTATTTATTTAGTAAAAAATTGTTTTTATTTTTTTTATTACCGAAAGATTATTTCAAATTCTCACAGAATACCAGCGTAAAATAGTAGCTTAATGCTTCTGTGTTTCGTATGGTGAGTGTAGAGAACCGGAGACCCTTATTACTGGAAACGAGGCATTCCATCTTAGGCATTTTGATTCGTAACCGAGGATAGATGTAGATGTTTATGGGCCAAAGTAACAACTTTATCATCAGGTGGACTATGTGCTCATTTGTCACCCTATCCTATAAAAAAAATTTGTGGTATTTATTGCTAGTTCAATTTCATAATATGTTAATATAAAAGCAAAATAGTATCATGAAGGATTCCGTTCACCTGTTACACCTTATTTTTTCCAGACGTTAAAAAAATCATCCATTACTTATAGACATCCTGAACTTACTGTATTAATACTATTACCACTATTTTAATTAACCTCTCAAACGCCAAGCGTCCAAATTTGACCGCTTCGATATCCCGTCAAAATTCAAGAGGTCAAATTTGACCGCACACACCCACAGCACTTTAACCCAAAAATACTTATGTTTAGAGACTACCTTTCTATGAAAAAGTTTGCATTATAGAATCAATATGAAATTTTCTATCGTCTAGTGGAGTAAAAAAACAGTTAGTCTATGGATATTAATTTATATTCTAGGTTTATTACGTACGCCATTTTCATTAGGATGTTGTTGTGTTGATTTTTCGATTTTTCTAGTGTTTTATTAGTGTTTAACTATAGTATTTTATTATAAAATTATTATAAAATTTTTTGTGTGAATACAATTTTTTTTTCGTAAACAATTTCGAGTAATATATAGAATAACTGTGATTTACACGCTGCCGACATCCGCTTGCTATTTGTTATCAAATACCTTTTTTCTTTGTTATCAAAATACAATAAAATCTTTTTGTAATAAAGTAAAGCCTGACTTTTGTTTAGACTACAGAATAGAGAATTTTGTATAGATTTTATAATGCCACTTCTTCATAGAAAAGTAGTCTCTAAATATAAGTTTTAGTGGTTTTAAGTGCTGTGGTTGGGTGCGGTCACATGCGACCGCTCGGGGTTTGCCAGGCGCATGCGACTGCATGGGAATTTTATGGGGATTGAAGGGTTAAGCAATTCAAAACAATTTGCTGTGTAGTGGCGGTGATAGAATATCCACTACTCCACAATAGTTGGTGTCGGGAGATGGGTGTCAACATTTTACTAATAACAACTGAAAATAATAAAGAAATGTGGTTCCCAACTAGCCAGCCATATGTGGCAATGGCAATATCCTATAAAGAAAAAAAATATTTCGATGACATGTGAAGTTCGCCAACACGCATTGGGGCAGCGCGGCGGACACTCCTTGCCCTAAAACCCTCTCAGAAATTAGGGGAGGCCTGTGCCCAGTAGTGGGAGGAATATAGGCTGTAACTTTACTTTACTTGTAACTTTTATAGAGATCTAAACGGAACTAAGGGACACAAATTGATTTTTATAAATAGAGATAAACCAATCTAAAAACATTGTTTGAATTGAATTTAGAACGATTTTAAATTGTAATCGAAATCCCTTAAATTATATTTTAATTTCAAGTTCAAGCGTCATAAATTTACATTCTCTATGACACACTAGCAAGAATGTAATTACATAAATGTTACATTTTATAGAAATAAATTTTATAAATTCTAAGAAACTTGCCCCCAACCTTCCAAATGCAGCTGTATTTCTCTGAATTTTCGAACGCACCCTCCCGCGCTTTTTGACTTTATCGCGGGAAATTGAAAGATTGTAATCTAAACAAATAATTCACTGTTATCATAATGTGGTAATGGAGTTGTTTTTTGTGGTGCAATTCCTAGTATCAATTTGTATTAAAATACTTCATAATCATAACAGTTCGTCGTCTGTGGCCATGATAGGAGGTTTTTTGTCGTGTGTATGTATTATGTATCTGTTCCTTTGTAAATTTCTAAAGTGTACGAGGGTGACACTGAATGTTTTTAGAAACTCAGAAACTGAACAAACTAAATCTTTGGAAAACTAGCAAGTTATTAGTTTTATTATATGTTTTCAAAATAGTGTCAATTTACATCAATACATCGCTGCATCCGATGGAACGGTTTCAACAGTATTTTGAAACGCAACCATTGTTTCCTCAAAATTATTTTTATACAATATGTAACGTAATTAACGCACACCCTCAGACACCCCAATTAGTATATTATGTTATAATCATAATACATACACTGAATTTTTAGCTAAACATTTTTATGCACTGATTATTTATCAAATTAGTTATACTAATTTCGGAAGAATGTTGTGGTCACAGTATAAATCCACGAACGCAAAGACTTCAAAGTGCTTGAAATAAAGTTAATTTTTCTTTATTTTTATTGAATGACAGAATTAGTAATAATACAAATAAAACTGCACTCTTAAAAGTCTTAGTGCCTTAAGTTACGGTCCATTTCAGTTTGTTTTGACTGTACAGATTTAGTGTGACTGTAATTTACGTAGTTTTAATAATTTTTGGGATAAAAAATTACCTATATTAAAAATGATGGAATCGGTTCATAAACGGTATTCTGAAACAAACTACTTTCTCAAAGATTATTTGTTGTGTATAATATAAAAATCGCAAGGTGCGAGGTCGGGGCTATGGGGCGGGTGACCCAGTAATTCCACGTCTGACGTCGCCAAGTTGTACATTGTTTGCTTGGTGGTGTGCGACGAGGCGTTGTGGTGAAGGAGGATCCTACTGCAAGGTCGTTTCTCCCGAACTTTTTCCAAGACAAATGGCAAACAATTGTTAGTGTACCACTCTGCAGTAACTGTTTTCGATCCTCTAAAACAATTGTTGCGTAATAACCTGTACTTCTAAAGAACGAGCCCACCATCTTTTTTCCACGCTTCGACCTCTCAAGGCCGTCAGGACAGGCTGTCATTTTTATTGATTAGTGACGTTTGACATATTTATTTCACATATTTTTGACACTGTTGTGACAACTGACTTTTCTTTCTATGGGTGCGTTTGGCAGAAAAAAGCGCTAGCAAGCGCTTGTAAGCAAAATGGCGATCGTAAGCGGTAAACGCCGTCAAATCGTAAGTAGCTATTTTCCTCCAGGACACGATGTTAGTTTTAACCGGGGAACCTAACCTAATTTAAATATATGTTTGTAAAGTATTCATATTAAAAACTTACCAATCATGTATTTTTAATAACATGTATTTGTTTATTAACGTTATTATATTACTTAAAAGTAATATTGCACAAAACAACTTATAAACTCTACTTCAAAACAAACAAATTAAATAAGCAAAATGGCGGATTGTGTCAGCGCTATTGAAGTAGTAATCGTGTCCTGGCCGAAAACTATTTCAGCGCTTGTAAGCGCTTGCTAGCGCTTTTTTCTGCCGGGTGCGTTTGGCAGAAAAAAGCGCTAGCAAGCGCTTGTAAGCAAAATGGCGATCGTAAGCGGTAAGCGCTGTCAAATCGTAAGTAGCTATTTTCCTCCAGGACACGATGTTAGTTTTAACCGGGGAACCTAACCTAATTTAAATATATGTTTGTAAAGTATTCATATTAAAAACTTACCAATCATGAATTTTTAATAACATGTATTTGTTTATTAACGTTATTATATTACTTAAAACTAATATTGCACAAAACAACTTATAAACTCTACTTCAAAACAAACAAATTAAATAAGCAAAATGGCGGATTGTGTCAGCGCTATTGAAGTAGTAATCGTGTCCTGGCCGAAAACTATTTCAGCGCTTGTAAGCGCTTGCTAGCGCTTTTTTCTGCCGGGTGCGTTTGGCAGAAAAAAGCGCTAGCAAGCGCTTGTAAGCAAAATGGCGATCGTAAGCGGTAAGCGCTGTCAAATCGTAAGTAGCTATTTTCCTCCAGGACACGATGTTAGTTTTAACCGGGGAACCTAACCTAATTTAAATATATGTTTGTAAAGTATTCATATTAAAAACTTACCAATCATGAATTTTTAATAACATGTATTTGTTTATTAACGTTATTATATTACTTAAAAGTAATATTGCACAAAACAACTTATAAACTCTACTTCAAAACAAACAAATTAAATAAGCAAAATGGCGGATTGTGTCAGCGCTATTGAAGTAGTAATCGTGTCCTGGCCGAAAACTATTTCAGCGCTTGTAAGCGCTTGCTAGCGCTTTTTTCTGCCAAACGCACCCTATGATCAATCGTCGCATTATGGTCTGCTGTCATTTTCTACAAGCACAGAGTAACTAAATCAGCGAGACGCCGTGTTGAAAGTCGATAAAAATAATTGATAAACATAAATTGTTTACCACGATAGTATATGTTTAAATGAATTATCTTTATTTTTTTCGCATCCTACAGATTTTTCTCTTCTTTTTGAGTTCTTTTCTTTTTTTTTGTACATAGACCTGGCCCATT